TGTTGTTGTTTTTTTTTTGTACTCTGCTTCTTTGTGCAATTTAAACTACCATATGTTTTGGTGCTTTGTCTTTCCCTATTACGTAGAATCATAGGATTGGATGGGACCTCGAGAAGTCATCTAGTCCAATCCCCTGCACTCATGGCAGGACTAAGTATTATCTAGTTTACACTCCCTACCTCTGTACATTCAGAAGCAGTGTCCCTACTTACTTTTTAATCCATGTTAAAACAAATGTTATGCTTTATTCTAGTTTTGTGTTTGTGTGTTTGGTATAAAATGTGCTAAGGTGCTCAGTAAACGCAATCTATAAATCAGACAGATTGATAATTTGTCAGACTGCCCAAACAGTCCTAAAATGAAATAATGTGAATGGAAATTCTGGTGCCTTAGTCTAACTATTTGCAATCTCAATTCTGGATTTAGGACTCGAAAGAGTCAGGAGCATTACTGTCAATTACAAAACTGTTTGCCATCTTTGATCCACCAGGTGTATGTCATTTGAACTCTATTTTATACTTAATATTATCACTTTATAACCAGGTGTTGGTGCCTCAATGATACACTTTATATTGTTTAAACAGAAAATAGGTTTGTGTCATTTTTTAGAAAAGAAAAACTTTTGATATGAAAACAAATCCATTCAAGTTTTCATAGAAAGGATGTCTCGATCAACTGGAATGCTGTTGCTTTGATAGAAAGGGTGAATGATTCTCCCCACCCCCATAAGTATAGTATCAGTTCTCTAATGTTAATAGAGTTTAATAGTTATTATTTCGATCTGTACTATGTAGAAAAGTTGCAAATGGAGATAAAATTGTGTATAGGGACATTGAGATCCAGAAGTACAACATATGGTACATATGTCCTTTCAGAGCTTTCATTTATATATCCAGGATATACCTCTTCATCTGAACCTCAAAAAGCTAGCTAGTGGTCCCCTATCTATTCTCTCTACTTCAAAACCATTGTTTAGTTCTCTCAAGCATTGATTTATACCATCTTATGCTTTTCAGGCTTTGGCAATTTGTTCCAAATTCCAGTTTCCAAATATTCTGAAATACTTATGTGCTTATTCCCTCATGATCTTCCCATTTGTGGTTTCTTGTGTTTGAATTAATAAACAACTTATTCACAACCATCTATTCCTTGCTTTCCAGTGTGTCTCATGCCCTGTGAGATTCCACTGTTTTTCCATAACCTTTTTTGGTAAACTGTAAAAGCCAAGCATAGCCAATCTTTCTTCAGAATTTATATCTGCTCCCCAAATCCGCAATCATTTTGCACTCTGCTGCTTGCTTTCAATTTCACCAATACCCTTGATTTTCTAAGCTAACAGGAATTGCACAAAGTAGTCTAGGTTCCGATATTACATCTGTGTTAATTAGTTGTAACTCCACTGAAGTCTGTTGAGTTACTCCATATTTTCCTGGGTGCAAGTGAGATCAGAATTTGGCTCATTGTTCTACTTGCAGCCTTGTATTGTGTCAAAATCACTTCTGTCTCTACAACCTTTCTCTGAATATCCCAAGATTGTGTTACTGCTGCCAAGCATTGTGCAGATGCTTATAGTGTCCTTGTTTTCCTCCTGGACCGGCCTCCCCCCAAGTGTTGTCTTGGTTTATATACTGTATTGTGCAGTTCAGTAGTTTTTACAATTGTCCATCTCTCCTAGTTTTGTCACCTTAACTTCTTTATAATGTTCTCTACAAGTCCGTTATTAGTCCATAAGACTAATCTATACAAGTCATTTGGAATTTGTATGCTCTGTTTCTGTGCACAATGTCTGACTCCCTCCATTATGGTAATAATCTATAGTTCTAGGCTTTTTCAAAATCCTTCCCTTTACAAAGTCATTTCATATAAAGTAAACAGATGTGGCACCAAGTCTGACCCTGTATCACCCCCCTCCTTATCTCTCTCCTCCCTGAGCTGTTTCCTTTCACTGGCACCCTGTGTTTCCTGTGCCAAAGCCAGTTTAGAATCCATTTCAATAGGTTGCTCTTAGGATACTTTCTAATTCTGCAAGTCAAACTCTCATGTAGTAGAGTATCAGATACTTTCCTGAAACATGGATACAGTAAACTCTGTCCATTGTTTCAGCCTTATCTACCAAATCAGTAACGTGGTTAAAGAATTCAAGGACGTTTTTTAGACAGGACCTTCCTTTTTGTAGTTCATGTTGACGTACACATCTTTCAAATGTTTCATAATGTTATCCCTTATCAATTGTTTCTCTCTAGTTGAAATGAGGCTTACATATCCAGATCCTTCCTTGTGTTTTAGTAAAAATATGGGTACTGTAATATCCATCCTTTGAGTGCTAACTGAGACCTCAGTGTACTGTTAGAAAACTTTGCCAAAGACTTTCCTGTTTCCCTTATTGTCTCCTCCTGCACTGGGGTGTATAAAAAAGGTGCTTTGTCAAACTTTAATAATTATAAATGTTTTGTTATCTAATCCAATGCACTAGGAACTTAAAAAAAATAAACCATATTCTTCACCCAAGAAATGTTTAGTCCATTCTCGGAGTTGTTAATCTTCCATTTATTTTGGGAATGAAATCACTGAGAAAAACTACAGTAAACAGTATTGGGTACATTTTGTCCTCACACACGGATGCACAGCTCCTCTTATCTTCAGGAGGAGTTCCACATACGTATCTATGGGCAGCATCTGCCCCTACTGGTGTAATTTAAGCACACAAAAGTAAGGATATTCAGAATTTAAATGGAAATTTGTGTCTAACCTTTACAGGAGAACTCCTTTGTATGTGGGAGATCCATGGCTGCTTAGTCTCTGGTATAGCAGTGTTCCAAGACAAATGTCTCATGACCTGCCAGGAGACCTGATAGAAATACAAAGCTATGCACATGTTGCTGAAAAAGGTGGAATGAGACCAGCCTCGCCTGTGTATGATGCTATAGTATAGTTAGGCTTCAGTTAGTGGCAAACAAAATAAATTATTCATGGAAAACCTGTGTCCCAAATACGTTTTAATCTATATACTATGTGCCTAAGAATTAAAATAGATGGTATTGGGCATAAAATATGGATGTTCACTGATGTGTTAGAACAGGTGTTTTAGTATCTATAGTACAAACCTATAGAAAAATCAGCTTCTGTAGCTGATTCCCACTAGTACTTCCCAATGTGTATATAGAGAACTCAGGTTCCCATTTTACATTTGAATTAAATTGAAATTGTTGATACATTTATTCATTTATGTATATGATGCCATTGATCTGTGTGTGTGTCTTTGTTTGAACAAGTCTAAGGCTTTCTTTTCCCTCACCCTTTTTAGATTGATGCATTAGGTAAAAGAAGCAAAGAAGCAGAGGCAGCCTTCTTGAATGTCTATAAGAGATTAATTGATGTTCCAGGTAAGCAAATTATTATCCTACTCTGAAAAGCAAATGGTCTCTTTAGTTCCAGATGCTATTGGGAATTTCTTCTTCTTTTGCCTTTTGCTGAGTTATATCTGAGTAGTGGTTTTATTCTCAAATTGATGTACTATGGCATTGTTTCTAACTGAAAGAACTGTAACTTAGGCACATTGATGGCTCCTCTTAAAACAGTTCATTGAATTCACGTATTAAGTATTGTGAGAATCATTTTATATTTAATTGTTACAATACCGTATGATTCTGAAAGCTGTTCTGAATGTTAATGGTTTATTAAATAAATTCACAGACTTTTGAGAGAGACTATCTGAAACTTTATCATAATGATGCAAACAGAATAAATCAATGTCATAGCTCCGTTTAAAGTGCCGAGAAAAGAGCAACTCTGCGCAGCTCCAAGCACACACAAACCTTTCAGTTTGTTTCCAGAGCTCAGGCTCTACCACTGCTGCCAAGTAGTTGTGAATAGGAAAAGCATTTTGGATACTGACAAACTAAACTCTGTCAAGCTTCAATTTTATTAATATTAAGTCTGTACATAATTATTAAATAAAGGCTGATCATTTATAAGTATCAGATTAGAAGTTTTCTTTATTCCTGGGGCAGCCTAAATTTCAAGATTTTTTTTTCTACTTACAATTTGAGAGAGCGTATATTTGTATACACTCAATAGGTACATTAGATTGGTTGGAGAAGACTTTTTTTTTTCTTTTTGCTGTCATGTTCAGATAAGATGGCTGGGAGTCAGAGTCCTGGGTTTTCTTTCTAGCTTCATCATTGTCTGCATGGTGTGACAAAGTTCCTCCTCTATCTTGGTGGGTCCTGCACTTACTGGCGGATTTTCTTGCCTCAGAGATTCACCATGTGGGTTGGGGAACAGCCCAGAGACCTTCCCCTCTAGAA